CAGAATACTAGCAATTAGTAAAAATAATTTATCTATCTCTATATTCGGCGTGTGTATAAATTATAGCCAACAAAAATATTATTCAATCTCAAAATGGAATAAGACTCTAGTTCTATAAGAAGTATGCTTTGACTCAAATCTCTCTAATTTACTCTCAACAAATGAAACACTCTGAAATGGCTCAGCTCACTAGTATATGTATGTGAGAGAAGATTTATGTTTAACAAAATGAAAATTTCTCACATTTAGAAATGTAGAACGTTGTCTAGACAAAAAATAATATGTAGTTTCATGATAGGAAAGCCGAAAACAATGAAATTATGCCAATTTGTCATTTGAAAAATCATGTTAATCCCGAGATCAAATAGGATTTTATTTTTTATTGTAATGTCAGGTTAAAGGGAATTATTTACAAAATTGGGTATAGGGTAGAAAACAAGTATCCATGAAATGAATTAAACTAAATCAGCATATATAAAACACTACTTCACTAACCCACCCTTTTAACTCCTTTTTTAACATGTGATTCACAACCATCTTAAATATTGTCGATTAATTTTTTTTTAATCTTCTTGTTCTGCTCACAAGATAAGAGATAAAATCCATTTTTGAGACACCAGAAGAAATGGCTAAATGAATAACAAGTTTTTTTGTATAAGCTTAACAGACTAACAAGGAATAATTGAAACAAATTTTTTTTTTTTTTATATTTTTAATAAGGCTTAAACAAAGAAAGATAGCTTAAAATCATTTCTCAAAATATAGCATGATCCATATGTTACAAGGACAAAACGACAGAAAAATGACAATTTCAATATTTTTCGACCAATCTGAAAGAATAATTAGACTCACAACAACATAATGATCTGTCAAAGAAAAATTAAGAGTAAATGTCGAATAACCCTCCAAAAATAATGATAGGGTCAAAATCTCACATGGGTTATAGTCTCCGCATTAGATATCAAGATTTCAAGTCTAAGTCTAAAAACTAATCAAAGAATATTTCAGCGGCTATGTGCATGTGCAAAATCTGAATATGAGACAGAAAATTATTTTTAACCAAAAGATAGGATAATAAATTAAGATATAATTAAATTGCTAAGACAACAAAATTAACAATTAATCGCATTTTTTTTTCTTTTGTATCACAACACAAACAAGAACACATAGGAACACATTTTTTTTTTTAAAAAAAAAAACAAAAATTAAAGCACACACAACCGCGCAAACAAAGAAAAAAATGTTTTTTTATTTATTTTTATTTTTATTTTTTTAAACACAACTGCAGAGCACACACAAAGACAGTTTTTTTTTTTCTTCTAAACAATTGAAAATAAAAATAAAATCAAAATTTTTTGAAAATAAAAATAAAATTAAAACACACAATAAACTTCCCCCCAACTTATATGACATTGTCCCCCCAATGGGACACACCACAAAAGACTAACAAGAACAAGAGAAGAAAAATACAACAAATAAAAATTGGTTTTTTATCGTTAGATTTCAAGATAGTTTAAGGCTGAAATTTTATTCTCCTTTAAGTTATCCGTCTCAGACCAAATTTATTTAGTCTTACTCATCAGTTCTCCTCAAAGGTGCACTCGTCTATTTTGTCCTGACACACAATACTGAAAACATACAAAACAAAATAAACTAATCTATTTTACCTAAGGGCACCAATTCCACTTTCTCCACTTTTTATGATTTATGAGATATGGCTCATCCCAACAGAAATTATTTGACTCGTCCAAGAGAGGATAAAAGTGAGTTACAAAGTCATCTTTTAATAGAGCATGAGTAATATATGCAAATTTAGGGTATATGTCTTTTAGGAGAAAATCATGAAAACAAACCCTAGGAACAGAAATTAAAAGTTCATTGCCAATCACAAAATCCCAGTCTAAATCACTGCCAAATTCATTCAACTCACTCATTATTTTCTTAGGCACTGGATAAACAGGTGGAGGGGTTTTCATGGAGATAGTCTCGACCCTATCTAAAATCTCATTAGTATAATCTGAGGGGTAAAGGTTCGGACTCCAGATGCGATACTTTCACACAAGACGAAAAAACTCTTCTAAAGAATTTTCTATCGGAAAACAGGAGACAAACTCGTTTTCCCTATCGAGTATTTTAACTATTTGCTCTAATTAGGCATCCATTCTGACAAAAGATTGACTCTAGAAATGCAACAACTCATAGGTGGAATCTAAGGTGCTTTGAAGAAATGTTAACACTCTATTCTCGTAATCTAAATTTTGTTAAGGTGAGATTTGGGAGTGTAACATTTGTGTACAGTGAAGAATTTGCAACACACTCTCATGAAAATAGGGAGAATATTGAGGTAATGGAGTACAATGTTGATATTGAAAATAATCAAAAAAAGGTTTCAAAATAATCGACATACTGACTCTCATATCCCCAAAAATTATTTCCAAAATATGCCACAACTCCACTATACGCAAGGCTCCAAAATACTAGATAATTCTAACTTTTACAACATATTTTCAATATGTTGATATTGAAAATAATCAAAAGGGGTGTCAAAGTAATCGACATGCTGACTCTTATATCCCCAAAAATTATTTTCAAAATACGCCATAACTCCACTATACACAAGGCTCCAAAACACTAGACAATTCCAACTTTTACCTCTGTCAAAAGGATTTTATAAGAATACTCAACTCACTTTTTTTTTTCTTTGAAAAGCACGCTAAAGAAACCTGTAAATTAATACAAAGCAAAATAGAACAAAAAAAAGGGTAAGTTTGCGATAAATAAAAGTGTAATAAAATAAAAGGGAGTATAAAACCTCTCAAAGAAGGGAAAAAAATGCGATAAATTAAATTGCAATAAAATAAATGTTAGTAATTAGTAGTTAGCAGTTAGTAGTCAGAAATTTTTTTTTTAAAATTTTTTTTTTAATCTTCGAAGTTATATGTCCAGCAAAGGTCATCCATAATGTCCAGCACAGGTATTTCCTTTGTGTCACAGTATGGATTTTTTTTATGTTTTTTTTTGGTATTTTTTATTTTTTGGTATTTTTTATTTTTTGGTATTTTTTATTTTTTGGTATTTTTTATTTTTTGGTATTTTTTATTTTTTGGTATTTTTTATTTTTTGGTATTTTTTATTTTTTGGTATTTTTTATTTTTTGGTATTTTTTATTTTTTGGTATTTTTTATTTTTTGGTATTTTTTATTTTTTGGTATTTTTTATTTTTTGGTTCACCCGGACAAGACAATCTGCACACAAGAAGGGGGAAAAAATTAGTAACACTTGCACAAGAAATATATATATGTATATATATTAAAATAAAAAATATATATTACAATACAAATTACCTCTAAACCAAACAACTTACCTAACTAACAAACTAATTAACCTAACCTCACCTCTAACTAACTACACATCAGGTAACTAAGAGACTAACTAAAGCTGTTACACAGTAACTAAATCAGTTACAAACTAACTAACAGCATATTACATTACACTGAATGAATTACACTACACTACACTGAATGAACCTCTGAATGAACCTCTTGGACCTCTTCCTTATCACAGCAAAGGTCATCCATAATGTCCAGCACAGGTATTTCCTTTGTGTCACAGTATGGATTTTTTTTATGATTTTTTTTTGGTATTTTTTATTTTTTGGTTCACCCGGACAAGACAATCTGCACACAAGAAGGGGGAAAAAAATTAGTAACACTTGCACAAGAAATATATATATGTATATATATTAAAATAAAAAATATATATTACAATACAAATTACCTCTAAACCAAACAACTTACCTCTAGTCCACAGCAACGGTGCCATAATTTGATGCGCTACCATTTGCACACCAAAATTCTATTTAAAACCAAGTAATAACTACTATTCCGAAGTATAGCGATTGAGACCAGGTGTCGATCCTTAGGGACTAATCGAATTGTGTTGTTTCAAAAATAATAATTAAAGTAATTTAAAGAAGATTGGTTTTGAAAATAATAAAACTAAAATTAATAAAGCATAAAATAAATCAAATAAAATAAGAAATATCTTAGGATTTTGAATCCACCATTAACCTTAAGGAGTTATTGATATCTAGTTTTTAAAAAATCATTGATTTAGATATTGTGATATAAGTTGATCAGAAAATATATCGTCAAGAAGATTTGTATATTAAAATCATAAAGTCACGAATCATCTTCACTTAGCACGGACTATCACCACCATACTACGATTGATGCATGACCCCTCTTTCTAGGTATGACTTGTCTAACAATTCTGATATACAGCATTGAAAATCATTCTATAATATGCACTCAACACCTTAATCTGAATAAAAACTTTGATGCACAAATAATCTCAGTTATACAGCTATATCTAAATCAAATCAAAACTAAAAATACTAAATATAATAAAATCCCAATTACTTGATCAAGATTTTATCTCCACCCTAAAAGAAGATTATTTCCGAATGCACATTGTATAATATGCACTCAATACCTTAAATACATAATCTGAATAAAAGAAGATTATTTTATTTACAAACACTCTCACTCTTTCTTCTTTGGCCAAAACCTCCGCCTGCTCCTTGCTCGAGCTCCCCGAACTCTGCTCTCCCTTTTTACGGTCTCTTCATTTCTTTTATAGATGGAATGATAGACCTCCAGAAAGAAAATAAATAAATAAAATATTATTATTATATATACAAGTGAGCTGGTGAAGTTGATGATGCCGACAGCACCTAGCTACAATAATTACAATAACAAAAGAAAAAAAGAAAGTAGAGCAATAACAATTAAAAAATAAAATAATAATAAAAAAAGATAGTGGATGGGGTGGAAGAATGATGACTCCATCGAAATGTTCTAAGGCTCCATTTGGGAAGTGCTATTTGGGACTTTTTTGATTATTGTAGTCATAAAAGATAAAATAGATTATTTTAGTTACAAAAAACAAAACATCTTATTCAACTCATAATCATTACACTCTTCTTGTTCCAATTATCTATGGAAAAAGAAAGGTCATTGAGTTCTTTCATGCAAATGAGGGATAGCTTAGGGGTTTGGAAGTTACTGTTCAGAAGACCACTTCTTGCTTGGGAGGAAGATGAGGTTAGTAGGTTGCAAGTATTGATAAGAGATGCTCTTGGGCTTAATATGGGGCTGAAGGACTTTATTAGGTGGAATGCATCCCTGGATGGTCAGTTTACTGTGGCAGGAATAAGAGAATGGTATGAGTCGAATCAAGGTCCAAGATTGCAGGTCCCTAGGTTGATTTGGAAAGGTGTAGCTCCACCAAAACCTCAGTTCTTGAGTTGGTTGGCATGGAGAGGAAGGGTGAAAACAATTGGTATGTTAAAGAGGTTTAGGGCTGTGAGTAGCAGTGTAGAGAATCTATGCCCTTTCTGTAAGCTGGAAGAAGAATCAGTAGATCATATTCTATTGCAGTGCTCTATGGTTTGGAAGGTTTGGTCCTCTCTGCTGAATTGGTGGGGCTTATCTTGGGTCACACCTGCTACTGTTGATGGAGTGCTGCTATGGTGGCTAGGAACACAATTCAAGAAGACAGTTAAGAAGATTTGGCGGCTTGTACCAGTTGCAATGCTGTGGTTAGCATGGAGGTTAAGAAATGACTGTGTTTTTCATGAGAGGCAACCGAACTTGGAGAAGCTTGGTGAAATTATAAAGGTAAGGATTGGGTTGTGGGTGAAGTCTGGGTTGCCTGCGATCCCTTATTCAGTGCATGATTTTGTGGAGAATTTGAATCAGGTATGCTATTGTGTGAAGTAGGGACTCAGTTTTGCTGCTGCTGCTGTTATTGCTAGTTTTTTGCGAATGCAAAGCTGCTGCTAGGTGTTGTTGCTACTGCAGAGTTGTTTTTGCTTGTTTGGTTGAGGTTTTTTGGTGTTTTGTTTTTTGTTTTTTGTTTTTTTTTTCTAGCTGTTGGATTGGACTCTCTCTAATCTTGGGCAATGTGTTGGCATATGATTAGGTTAGCTCTTTGGTACCAACCTAGTTGGGATTGTTGAGTTTAACTATGATATTTGTTGCACTCCCTTGCTTTATTGATGTATGTTCTCCGCTTGTATATAGCTTCTTCATTAATAAAGTTTTCCTTTTTTGCTGATAAAATATATATATATATATATATTCCAAAAAAACTCTTTAGTGTAATTTTTTCAAACGTAATACTTCAATTAATGCAACACACAAAAACTCTTTACTATATTTTTTTTCAATTGTAACACTCTAATGTAACACATTATAAAAATTCCATAGTGTATTTTTTTCAAACGTAACAATGTAACATTTAAAAAAAACTCCTTAGTGTATTTTTGTCAAACAGAACACTCAAATCAATGTAATACACAAAAATTCCTTCATGTACTTTTTCCAAATGTAGCACTCTAATATAACAATACTCCAATTAACACCAGAAAGTCACACAAAAAAAATCAACCCCCCAAAAGAATTTTCCACACCTCACTTTTCCATTTCTATCTAAAAACGAATCAAAAAATTAGAAAAATGAATTACAAAAGGACATTCACCTAAACTTAAATGGCTCCAAATCAAATAAATACAACTTTCTAAAAAAAAATAAATTCATTGGTTCATAAGAAAACTCTTACGATTAAATGATCAAAATTCCCCTATATGAGATTTATTGGTAAATTTTTTATTTTTTTTCCTCGACATGAAATCATGGACAAGGTAATTATAAAAGTCAATCATATAGTGTGACTCACACTCAAGTTCTTGACATGTTATTTTTTTCGAGTACACAGTATTTTGATTGTACACCGCTATACGCTTTCCTCTTTTGTTTCTAATTTCTGTTCAACTGATTTGGCTTCTTTTGTTTCTGATTTTTGTTCAAGTAATAGTTTGGCTTCTGCTTCTTTGTGCTTCCCCCACAAAACACCATAGAGGCCTCCCACTAGCAGTAAAGCTCCACAAACACTGCCACAACATGAAAATTTTATTTCTCTCACATTGACACAACACGAACACGAACAAACAAACACAAAAAATAAAATAAGTAACAATTGAAATTACATGGACACAAACGCATAAAACAAGAGTTGAGAAGAGAGAAAATGGACCTTCCCCAATGAGGGGTCTCCTTCCACAAGATTGCTGAGAAGATGGCTGTAACAATGAATGCTAATGGATTAAATGCAGCTGAAAAAACCGGGCCTCTCTTCTCTATCACCCAAATTCTCAACCAGTATGTCAGCGCTACAAAAATTACACCCTGCCATTTTCATTAACACTTAATTCAACCCGAAAAGAGAATTTAAAAAAAAAGAAGAAGAAAAAAAAGGTTGAAGAAGATATCTTACACAATAGGCCACAACAAGAAGGTTAAGATCCCAACCAAGTTTCCATGCTGATATGTTCCTCTCAACTGCCAGAGCCCATATTGCCGATTGTATGCAGCTAAAGAAGCATTGTATTGTTGTAAGTCTTAGTTTATCTGGATATATCTTTGTAAGAGGACCCTGAAAGCCAATCAATTCATACAAAATAAGTCTAGGAACAAATAAATCGATTGCAAAATTGTATATATAGATAAAAACAAATTTTGTAAAATCTTGTCAATTCATGTGTATTTTATATTTTACTTTTGTGTTTAAAGTAAAATTGTTCATGGAATGAGTTCAGGAACACAGAAACGGGTCACAAAACTAGACATAGAATGGAAAAAACTATTAGTAGGTTCTAATGGTTAGACTTAATTCTCATCAAGTCCTATTGAATATAAGTCGCTAAAAGTTGACAATTAGCATTTTTTTTTTGCCACAACTGTTATAAATTATCGCTAAAAACTTATAATTAGTGACGTTTTTCTATGACGAATTTTTCAAATTTTTGCTGAAAGTTGAAAATTAGTGATATTATTTTAAACTGTCGCTAAAACTTATAATTAGTGACATTTCTTGTGACAAAATTTTCAAACTATCACTGAAAATTAACAATTAGTGACATTTGTTAGTAGTGTTTGATGAAAAAGGCCATTAATAATCATAGGATCTATTGGATAGTAAGTCCACCGATTAGGACTTGTACGTAAGTATCCTAATAGAATATAGGGCTGGGCATAGGGTTATCCAACCCGCCCAAACCGCCCTACCCGATTCGACTCGCACGCATATGGGCAGTTTCAAAAATACATTAGGGTCGGGTGTGGTTTGGATTTTGGCTGATTTTCGGGTTGCAGGCGGGTCGCTGGTTTGAACCGTACCCTTCTAACTTGCCCACATTAATTTTTTTTATTTTTATTTTTATATTTCAAATATGGACCGTTCATCTTCACTTCATCTATACCCAAACCAAACAAACAAAAACCCTAATCTAAACTCTCTAAACACATCTGCACAGCTCTCACTCTCTCGTTTTTCATCTGGACCGATCAACATCGCAAAAGATCAACTCTCTCTCATCGTAAGATCGACCGATCGATCTCACTCTCTCATCGCACCGGTCGACCTCACAAGATCGAATTTCTCTCTTCAGCTATGTGTCTCTTTGTCTCTGTCTCTGTCTCTCTCCCCAATCTCTATTTTTATGTGGGCATTCAGATATGTGTCTCTTTGTGTGTAGCCTCTCTTCTAATCTCACTCACTTGTTCTTTCATCTGTGTGTGTGTGTATGTGTGTGTCAGCCGGCGAAGAGACTGATTGACCTTCGCAAGATCGAATCTGCTTTGTAACTCACAGAGGTAAGCCTTTCTGTCTCTGATTCTCTCTCTCTCTCTCTCCCTCCCCGACCTTCTATTCATTTTTGTCTCTAAGTCTGTTTTTTATTTTTTATTTTTTTTGTTCATCTCTATCTTTGAGTTTATTTGTTCATTTTTGTTTTTTTTTTTCTTAAAAAATTCTATTATTCAATTTGTGATTCAATTTGTGTTAAATTTGAGAGTTGGAATTGAATCTGTGTTATTGGAATTAAATCTGTTATAGAATATGTGTTACTGAATCTATTAAAGGGTTATTTGTTCATTTCTGTTTTTTTTTTTAAATCTGTTATTCAATTTGTGATTCAATCTGTGTTAAATCTTAGAGTTAGAATTGAATTTGTGTTATTGGAATTAAATCTGTGTTATTGGAATTAAATCTATTATGGAATATGTGTTATTGAATCAGTTAGAGGGTTAACATTTTTTTTTGTTTTAAATCTGTTATTCAATCTGTGTTAAATCTGAGAGTTGGAATTGAATCAATTTTATAGGAATTAAATTTGTGTTATTGGAATTAAATCTGTTATGGAGTATGTGTTATTGAATCTGTTAGAGGGTTATCATTTCTGTTTTTTATTTTTATTTTTTTAAATATGTTATTTAATCTATGTTAAATCTGAGAGTTGGAATTGAATTTGTGTTAATAGAATTAAATCTGTGTTATTGGAATTAAATCTGTTATGAAATATGTGTTATTGAATTTGTTAGATGGTGATTAAATCTGCTATTAAAGCTGTTACGTTATTGAATCTATTATGTTATTAAATCTGTAATTATGTTGTTGATATTGAATATGTAATCTGTTATGTTATTGAAATTGAATTTGTAATTTTTGTAATCCAATTTAAATTGAGGATAGTGTTCAATCTCTCACAATCAATCTTTTACCTCTGGAATCCTTTAATTCTCAAATCAATCCCCTCTTAGTCGAACCCGAACTTGAACCTAAACCTCCTAGACCTCCAAAGAGAAAGAGTGAGGGTGGAGGGGGGAGAGCACCATCCACAGTTTGGGATCATTTTGATAAGGCTATAAGGATCGATGGGAAGCGTAGAGCCGTATGCAAATATTGCAAAAAAGAGTATTTGGCTGACTCTAGACTTCATGAGACTAGCAATTTGAGGTGTCATACACCCAATTGTAAAGAATATCCAAATAGGGATAGAGATGGTCAACAAACATTAAATCTTAAACCGAAACAAAATGAAAAGGGTGTTGAGGTTGTAGTAATAACTTTTAATTTTGATGCTTATAAAAGGTCTCTTGCGAAGATGGTTGCCATTGATGAGTTGATTTAGATTTGAAGAGGGAGTTGGATTTAGAAGATTTTGTAATGTCATGCAACCGAAATACACACCAATCCCCTCTCATCATACCATATCTAGAGAAGTGCTTAGCATATTCAAGAATGAAAGAGATAAGTTAAAGAAGGCCATGAAGGGTCATAGAATTTGCTTTACTACAGACACTTGGACATCTAATCAAAATTTGTGTTACATGTGTTTAACTGCTCATTTCATTGATGATAACTGGAAACTTCAAAAAAGAATCATAAATTTTCAACAAGTTAAAGATCACAAAAGAGAAACATTAGGTAGGAAAATTGAGTCATGTTTAATTGAGTAGAACATTGATAGCATATTCACCTTAAAAGTTGATCTAATAATCTTACCATTCAATATTTGAAAACAATAAACAAAGATTGGAAGGAGACTATTTTGCAACATGAGTTTATTTACATGCATTGTTGTGCACATATTCTTAATCGCGTTGTGAGTGATGGGTTGAAAGAAATGGATGATTCTATTGCCAACATTAGACTTGCGGTGAGATATGTGAGGTCTTCTCCTCATAGGCAGATGCTTTTAAGAAGTGTGCAGCCACACTCAAACTTGATTCAAAAGCTCTTGTATGCCAAGATGTACCAACTAGGTGAAACTCTACCTATTTGATGTTGGAGGCAGCTGAAAAGTATGAAAAGGATTTTAACCGCTTGAAGTTTGTGGATTCTAATTTTGAACATTATTTCAAGGATGTTGATAGTGGCATAAGGAGAAGTCCTAATGAGTTGGATTGGAAAAAATGTAGATTGTTTTTGAGGTTTCTAAAATTATTTTATCTTGTAACTGAGAAGTTTTCGAGGTCTCTCTTTGTTACTTCCAATGCTTTTTACAAAGAAATGTTTGTTATTGAAAGCAAAATTAACCAATTAATTTTGGAGGAGGATGATACTTTGAGCACAATG